GGTTGTGGGGGGGGGGGGTATACACAAAGAGGGTGAAACAGGGCACTGGGGGGCTCCGCGGGAGATATTTTCGTGCGGGACTGGGGGGTGTTATCTTGGGTGGCACAAAGTGGCCGGCTCACATGCCGCTGTAGTCGTTGGTGCCGAGGAAGCTGTTGGCATCGTCGTCGTAGCCCCAGCCAAGGCCGTACGGGTTGTAGTTGAGCATGTCAGAGTAGTAGCTGCCCATGTAAGAGCCCCCGTAGCTGCTAGAGGTGCCGAACGCCTGAAGTCGAACAACACCGGGAAAAGGGGGTGGGTTCAGATCTAGGGGCCAACTGAGGTATCAACACAACGTTCACCGACACAGCCGCAGTGCCGATTGACTGGGGGAGTGCTGTACAACAACGGGGTATGGACGTGTACGCGAAACAGACATTTAGAAACTGCTACGCCTGTCATGACTGTCATCACCGAATGCGTCCGCATCACTGGAACCGGGAGGGATGCTAGAGCCTACCATTTACACCGGAGACCGTTCTGAATGCCAAGACAAGGCCGCAAGCAGCAAACAGGAACGCTTTATCCGACCACATCTACGGAAGATCCCATTCACACTCGGGCCCAACCAAATATACGGAGATCCCACCCACCACTCGGGCCCAACCAAATATACGCAGATCCCACCCACCACTCGGGCCCAACCAAATATACGCAGATCCCACCCACCACTCGGGCCCAACCAAATATACGGAGATCCCACCCACCACTCGGGCCCAACCAAATATACGCAGATCCCACCCACCACTCGGGCCCAACCAAATATACGGAGATCCCACCCACCACTTGGGCCCAACCAAGTATACGGAGATCCCACCCACCACTCGGGCCCAACCAAGTATACGGAAATCTCACCCACCACTCGGGCCCAACCAAATATACGGAGATCCCACTCACCACTCCGGGCTCGTCGCACTGGCCGTCTGCCGCGAAGGAACAGCTGTCCTCGCACAAGTTGGTGGAGCTGTCCTCACGTACGTTAGCGATCTGTACGCCTGACGGGAGGGACACAGTTCCAGCCCCTGTGTCGATGGACATGATCTTGATGGGGGTGACCTCGCCCTCCGGTACGGTGGCCCAGGCGCCTTCCAGAAGCGACAGGGTCATCACGTTGTCACGCCAGTTGTCCTGTTGTGGGCCGAGAGGGGGGGGGGGGGGGGGGGGGGGGGGTTTCTTTCCTTCACTTCCTTTCTCGCCACGTTCGCCG